TCAGAGGATCATTGCTGGCCAGTGTGTGCTCCAGGAGGGAGCAATTTTCTGACTCATCAATCATATCTGAAATGTGTTTGGTGCTTTGTCAGAATGAATAAGCGGGCGCCAGCTTATTTCTACTGCCTTGGTCAACAAAGTACATCAGCCACTTTGTGCAATAGAACAAATTTTCTAGCCAGCCTCTGTTACTAGCAGGTCTCTCATATGGGACTTTATCAAAATTAATGAAGCTGCTTGCTTGATCAATTGCATTTTTCCTTTGAGGATGGTTTTATCCTTCCAGTCAAGTGTGGTTTGAAGGAGCATCTGTATCAGACCTTGTATGACTTGTTTCTGGAGTTCAGAGGTTCAAATTCAAATTGTTGAAGATGAGTTTGTAAAACTGAAAGATGTGTGAGTGGATTAAAAGAACCAAAAGAATAAAAATAAGCGAGCGCCCGCTTGTTTTTATTTCTGCTGCAGATGATGAGTTCAGCTTTAGCCCTGTTTATCAGATCACCTTTGCAGGCATCCTTAAAGAGATTTGCCCTTGCCCCTTGTGCTGGTGTTAGCACTGTTGGACTGAAATTCATAGATTAGCAGATGTCCACTTGTTTGATGCTTAGTCTGTCTGCACTCACCATGACTGCTGCAGCAGCCTTTGTATCTATGATTGAAATGGAATTTCTTGCATTCTGATTGGTGCTGGTGCTTGCCTGCAGAAAGCAAGAAAATAAGAGATTGAGCTCTTATTTTCTTTTGGTTGGATCTAAAAACTTACTATGATGGTTGTTTGAAAATTTCCTTATTTGGAAGGTATAAATTGCAGAAAGAGATGTGTTTGGTGTAGCCACTCTTTTCAATTGTGTATATAAGCTGAGACACAAACATGCACAAACAGATTAGTCAGCTTGCTCTCATTGGTTGACTAACTGAACAAGCAGATTCCTGTCCATCTAATCAACTCTGATGCTGATGATGTCTTTGATCTTTGCTGATGCTTACAAATAAGCGGGCGCCCGCCTATTCTGAATCTGATGCTGGTTGATGATACATGTGAGTGGGCCTCTGCCTATCTTTAGTTTTTGCTGGAAGTTGCAAATAAGTGGGCACCCACTTGTTCTTGTCCTTGCTGTGTGTCTGGCTGCTCTAGTCATCTCTCTGTGCACCTCTAGCAAAAATTGAAATAATGTTAGAGAGCCTTCTCATCAAACCATGACTCTCTTGTTTGGCTGCATGCATCTACCAACAATATGAACAGAAAACTGAAGCTAATTGGACTCATTGTACAAACATGCTGTAGGTATACAACAAGTGCTGAACGCTACATGAAGTGAGTGTCTAGCAAATATAAGTGTGGTCTTGCATAGCCTAGTCTGCTATACTTGCGAGACAAGTGTGTTCCACCCGAGGGGTTAGCTATTTGGAATTAGAATAATTAGTTATATGAAAAGGAAGATAGTCCAACCATGGGAAACAAAGTCTGAAGGTATAATTACGAGTCTGATATCAAAACATCGGGTCTGATGTTTTTGGGTTAGCAGTTTACCTTGGATTGTGTTGGGTTAGCATTAGAAATGTAGTGAATGTCAGATTACTGTCAGATGTTTCAGAGTGTTTCAGATAAAGAAAGGATGATATTGCAGAATTCAGCTAAGAACTACTAATATTGGATGACCTCCTACTACTCAGAGGTAGAAAGGTAAGATAAAGTAAGTAGGAGGTATGCAAAATATATAGTGTCTATGTAGAATTTTGGAGTGCTATAGGCGAAAGTAGTAGCAGTAATTTTCAGGTCCGACATCCTATGTAATAAGACATGTGGTACTGCAGACATGTAATAATATGGCTATGATGTTAGCAACGTGAAAACAAATAACTGTGCACCTAGTGGGGATAGATACGACAGGACAGGACATAGGGAGGGCAAGTGCATAGGAAAATATTGGATCCGATGTAGCCTAAACATTGGGTTACATCAGGTTAGCATCAGGTTAGTGTCGGGTTAGCAGATAAACATCAGAGCAAGTGGGTAAGTGTTGGATAACATTGGGAAGTGATTCATGTGCAACAGATGTTTGATATGCATTGGAAAATAGCAGAATACAAGCCTAGCATGAGCTCAAGTGCTATACCACTTATGTCAGAGAGCCAGCATATCTCTGCCACTCAGTATCTTCATTAGAGATCTATATTTGACAGATAGATCCAGGTTGCTAGCAGTATTCTACCATGTCGGTGAGTTGGGGGGAGGGAATGAGTGTTCTCTGAGCAAGGGCTGAATGTTATTGCAACAGGTACAAGAAAATTCAATGTACCTGCATGTAATATTAGCCAAGCCTCACTTTTGAGTATTTTTCAGAGTTATATTTTTTCTCTCCAAGTTTGACCATACTATGATAAAAAGAATCATCTAGCCATTCAAGCATCTCAGTCCATTTCAACAACTGAGATGTATGTCCTCATTATTTAATATTCTATATCTCAAGCTAATATGTACATAGTATATACATTGTTCTAGCCTTTTTTTCCCTGTGCACTTATTTACAATTGCGACATGAGGCTCAAGGGATGAGGTGGAGGACCCATTGTAGTATTCATTCAATTATGTACATTTAGGAGGTTCAAAAATGCAAAATATATGATATTTAATGACATATGACATGGTACAGTGAAAGAATTACAAAAAAAGTGTGAAAATGGTAAAATAATTGAGCTCACTGTGTGCAACAATGAGCACAAAGGTTTTGGTGATGCATGCAGTGAGCACACAAGCATGCTTACCTATTTTGGCTATCATTTACACATCACTGTCACATCAGGTACATGGGAACTACTGTCACAACCCCTTAAATGAATTAACACCAGGCAGAGACTAGGACTCAAACAAAGGTTTATCACAACAGAAGGATAAGGCAGCAGGTATGTCTTAGATTGCTCACTTGGAGATACAAGAGGTTTGAACTAAAGAACTATTGACTACGTTGAGCTACCTATATACACATATTGAAACTAAGATCAAAACTGAGTATGAACTAACTAACCAATCAGAATAATTAAAGGTATCATATGATTCTATATATAACTATGATGTCATAACATGTGCCGCAGCTGCAGTAAGACTCTGGAACATTCCAAGTGTCGCATGGTGTGACATCATCAAGTTTGGCATCTTCCAATAAGTCACATGATTCTGGTAATTCTACAATGGACGCAATAATAGGAACTTCTTCTACAGTAAACATATTCTTAGGAACAGGCACTGTGACTGGGCGCTTTTTTTTTTTTTTTTATATCCATTTATTGTCCATTGAGAGGTATACTCTATGTAGGACAGTACTGTCTAGTCAAGGAGCCCCATGCTCCGTCCCGTTGTCGCATCCCCAAATGCACTGGTGTAAGGCGTACCCCACCAGTCCGCCGTTCCCGCCGGCCGTTTTAGATGGGCGATGTAGGAGACTAAGGGAAGACTATAAGTAAGATTGCGTGAGTAATAGCTATCGTGAAATATATAACGCGTGCTCGGCCGCTGTTGCGGACCAAACAGAGATCAGTTGGGGTGTTCAGTAAGTGAGTGATAGACATAAGGTAAGGGACACGGAAGTCAAGGTGCGCTTCCTGGGTGGACGAGGAGATGGGTCGTCCAACATGTCGGTATATCATGTATCCGTGGTTACTGGCATAGTCCCCAAGGTGCGACCAGGGATCTCGTGTGGGCGAGCTGAGGTGTAGGGATTAGGTGAGGATTAGGTCGTGATAGGGTAGGATGGGGGATATGGTGTGTTGGCATTATAGTGGTCGGAGAGTGATAACTGAATAGAGTGCATCAGAGTGGTCAGGCTGTGGGCATCGAAATGTCACCTAGCGTGGATTTCAGTCTACGGGTCTGATTAACATACCGAACGAGATGAGTGATGGCGTCTGAGTCTGTCAGAACGTGAGAAAGCGAGGTGGATTTCCGCCCTAGGGCGCAGGACATGACATGACGTGCTGCGATGTATCGAGGGCATTCAAATAGAAAGTGGTGAACGGTTTCTTCGGTTTGCGGGCAATGAGGGCAATGGGGGGATTCAGTTTTCGTTATGCGGAAGAGGTGTTGGTTTAGCGGGAGGTGACGGGTGCGCAGACTGGGCGCTTAAAAGACTTAGAGTTTAGGAATGAATAATGGTTTGTATTTGGAACTTGTGACAACTACACATGATGCTAAGTTAGCCATGGGTTGTATGTCTCAGATGTCCCAGATATTCCAGGATTGAAATATTCTGATTTTCCTGAGCTCTCACAATTGAGGACATCTTGATCCCAGGATATCCAACTGTCCGACCCCATCTATGCCAGCATATCAGTCATCGCTCCCATGCATCATATACTTATTATATATCACTTTAATGTTCAGATAAATAATGTATTAAGCTCACAATATATGTGAGACATCCAAGCATTAAGCTGGAGCTTCCAGACTGCCCTAACCCCATCTATGAGTGCCAGTCACCAGTGCAAGTTGATTCAATGTTGAAATAAAATTATGTATTATGTAAGCTTACTGGGATATTACTATATTTGGACAAGCTTAGCTGCACCACTACATGGTTGCCTGCTCAGTGCTCAGCACTGACACTTTATTATGCTTGCATCAGGACTCAGTACTTGAGGAAGATATTTTACTCATGCAAACTGCTTCTCGCCACCCTAATAGTGCACCTCTAGTTCTTTGTATCTTGGTGGGCAGGTTTGTTTGTTTGCCTGTTTGTTTGTAGTTGTAGTGGCTGTACCATACACTGAGTCATACCAGGCACAGATGTTGGACTCGGAGTCTCGGATATCCTAGGATCAAAATATTCTGCCACAATTTCACTCAAGTGTGAAATTGACAGCACATAAGTTGATGAATTTCGCAATAAATCACATAGCAAAAACTCCCTATTATTTAAGGTAAATTCTGGTGCATTAAATCTAATATGGATTTTTACAAGAGAGAGAGAGAAAGTATAATTGACACTTCAATTTAGCATGGTCAATCACAACAACTGCATCACATCAAAGCCCCCACTTCCCTTCGCAACAACTAGCCGTCCCATCCCCTCGTCAAAGTCGATCTTGTCTCCACCACCAACACCAACAGGTTCAATCTCATATACAACCCTTTCCGTCTCAAACTCAGGACCAAACTGCATCTCACATGGGGGCATGAACAACAGACTTGGTGCGCAAAGTCGTACCTTCCCGTCATACACAAACAACCCGCGCCCGGACGACCCCAGGCATATCTGCATGCACCCCCCTAAATCTTGTATTACATTCGGAACGACCGTAGAGAGTCGGAGAAGCCGGTACGGGAAACTAGATGGATATTTCCCCCCCTCGTCGTCACCTAGCAGAATAAGCATTGACAAAGAAATCCCGCCCGATTTGCCTCTGGTAGCGAGTGTAAGGGAATGTGCTTCCTGTGATGTTGCGTACATGGCATCTGCATCTGCATCAGACCAGCCTCGAGAGACACAAGCTGTAAAGGCGATAGGCGAGCTGATTTGCTCATAAAACATGAATATTTTGGTATGCGCCACCACAGTTCGTCCTTTGGCTGGTACGTTGGGCACCGGGAACACGCTAATGCATGCCTCCCATGTTACAAGTATGTGGTCTGAGAAATGGACCAAGCCTAGGAAGGCACCGAACTGAAAGAAATCATATTGGTCTATCATCTGAAGTTTCACTTGCAAGACTCACCAGTTCAGGTATACGCGGAAGAAGGGCAGTGCCCTCTGTCTTAGCGTGCCAATCTAGGACCTCGAGGCCACCCCCATCCTGCTGTGACGTGGTATCCAGGAAAAGCAGGTGCCGTGAAATCCCTGCAATAGTGCCAGGGACGAGTGAGTAGTCGCAAAGCTTGTTGAGAGCAGGCTTTAAGGAGAGCGAGAATACTGTAGCATGTCGATTTGGACTATCCCTTGTCAGCGATACTTCACATGGTGTCGAGAGGCCGAGGGACTCACTTGTCTCTAGAGCCGATGGCAATAATTCCCTGGCGTTCCATGTCCTTCACAACTATGCATGTATCGTCACTTGGCAATGACCACGCTCCAATGTTGTGAAGCTCGTGTGAGCCTGGTTTGCCGGAGATGAGCCACCACATTACTTTATTTCCATGGACTGTCAAGACCTGCATTCCTCCGGGGACAAGCACGATCTGGTCGACGATCTCTCGTTCTCCACTCGAAACAATGACATTGGCCTTGGATTGTGACCAGCGTCTCTCGAGAGCAAGAGCTAATAATGTCCGATACTCTAGATCGGCAGAAGACAGAGCACTGAGAGAGCATGAAGGACCAGGGGGAGGAAGGCGGCGTGCCAATACTTCGGTGCAGAACACTGCATACCAGACACAGTAAACCTTGGACAGAGAATAGAAACGTTTGGATGTCTGGGAAAGGTGGGATGCATGTGGGTTCACATGTAAATAACAATATAAAAGACGTACGCATCGCAGTGTCAATATTTCTCGCACAGATGATACCTGAAGTATCTGTATGAGGATGTCGTCGGCCAATCCGTCCAAGCTAGGTGTGTAATGCATCACGGATGGTCACGTTCTTAAGTTAGCGCCCCGGTAATTGAACCCAGACTAGTGGATTGATGCATCCAGCAGAGCAATGTTTGGGTATATATATCCTGCGAATCATACCAGTGGCTAGTGTGGCTGGAAGGTGAAGTTACTTTTTGAAAAGAAAGGCAAAGGTGAGAATCAACTCGGCACCGAATCGGGGATCAACGTACACCTCAGCACTAGTCATTCCACTTCCTTCCCAATCTAGAGTCACTAATATTCATCATAGGGGGCGCTCAATTCCGCACTTGATTATCCACGAAGCACGATGATAGGTCAAAGTTAGTTGACCAGTTACTGTTTCATAGCTCGTGTGCCTTTGGTGTTCAGCATCAGCATGAGATGGAACGGGAAATGTAACAGGGAGAACTTAAGTAGCACTCAACGTCAAAGATCATTTCCCCAAAAGACCAGCATAGTCCTCGGAGCTGCACACCTTATGGTTATTCCGGTGCTATCTTGATACCAAAGGAAGTTGTGATAATTGCTATACCTCCAGTTCAGGCAATGCAACAGTCTGGGGCCCATTAGCGGGTGCTGTTATAGTTATTGGAAAAGGTGTACGGGTCCATCAATAGCTATATTGGTCGGGGTAGGTGCTGTTACAGGAACCTGATGTAGAGCCTGTACATGGGATGTAAGGCGCAGCAACTCGTCCACGGAACATGGGCGAGTTATAAGTCTGCCCTAATCTGTATCGTTCAGACAGTATCACATTTAACTAAGATCGCGATCGCGATCGTATGATTTTTCCTGTATACAACATCATTAGCAAACAAAGATACAACAGGTACGACCCCTTGACACCATCTTCATTCTTGAGATGCGCGAGTTCGGGCCAAATCATAGGAGTAGACATTCCTTGATTCTGCCTTCGTTCTTGTAATCAGCAGGTTCGGGCCAATCACACCAGAGTAATCATAACGGCTCTCCGACGACTCCAACAAGCTCTGCAGAAGACTTGTCAACAGTCTCTATAGCATAACATTTACCTTTAATCGTACTGGAAAAAACTAGCAGATTGTTGGTCGAGCCTGAGCCCGATAGCCCTTGATGGACATGTACGAGCTGGACTTAAGTCGATATACATCACGGCCAGTATGGTCTTTGAATACAGCCTGTATATCAGTTACAGTCACGAAAAGAAAAATGCCAAACACAAATCACTCATCTAAGAGATTCTTTAGAGGTATTCAAAAATCAGTCTGATAACGCCACTTCGGTTACAGTCCTTCAAATATATCTGTAAGCAACATTCGATGCGAGAGAGCAGCAACACATACGTGTACATCCTAATTGAGTAACGCGTTGACTGTCGATGCAACGCCGCTGGCTGCCCGAACTCTTGTAATGCTCCACGATTTTCCTGTCTAACCTTTCCCACTTCCCCAAGCGATCCATGCTCTTGATATCCACGTCGATGATTGTGACATCAAACGATCCTACCTGCGTAGATTTGGGCGAGATAATAATGGAGCAATCCTTAAACGTCGCTGAAAGAAGGTATGCCATGAGATAATGCCGGAGGTGTCGAGGGTTTGGAACTGTGTGATTCCAGGAATGATAATCAGAGTGGTATATTCTGACGAAGTCCTTCCATTCATCCATGGAAGGATCGGGAACCGAAGACCCGAGACCGTTATATGGGAGATCTGGTAATGTTTGTGTGTATAACTTAGATAAGCCCTCTACATCCAGTACATCCAGTGTTCGTTGTAAAGTTGATAGGAGGGAAAGAACGGGACTGTCAAGAAGTGCCTGCGCAAGAACGGATGTGAACGATTGCCGAAGGTTCTGGACATCAGTCGATCCGTCCGTCGTGAAGAAGTGTGCCAACAATTGTACCGAGTGGTCCTATCCAAATGTATCAGAAATCTGAGAACGTGATGCACTAAAGACGTACATCATCTGGTTTTATCATTCCGCCCTGGACGAAGAACCGTAGGTTATTGAGAGACCCGTTGCTCTCATACCACCCAGCCCACAAAGCACCTAAGGCTTTTCTAACACGCGTATCATCGGAAGAAAAAAGGTCCAAAGGGCAGTAGGTCGTATCGACGGCCCCTTGTTCCACTCTGAGGCTCGTATGCATACAGAATCTGCACGTTCTTGTCTTCAGAGCGACAGTCTCAGGCGAGAGATGGTATTCTGTAGGTAAAAATCCCCATTTCGGCTAAATAATTAGTCAGATCCAGATACTCTCCCAATAGACTGGCGACCACCTTGATTTCCATCGCGATGGGCATACCCCCAATGAGATCCGTAGCTAATACACCCTTGGTCCTGCGAACATCAATCTGATCCGTCTGCCTTCTCTCTGCTGGACGGTCACCGTCGCGTAGGATAACAAGCGACCTAAGCCAATCCTCGTCGAGCACCACCATCACAAAACTCGGCAGAAATTCCGAAGGAACGAGTTTTGAGATGATGTTCTCTTGAAAGGCGATCATGGGATCATCTGGCTGTTCACTGTTGGTATCGAGCAGCGTGTTGTCTGATGACCCGTGAGCGACTTTACGCAAACGTAGGACGTGATCAGAGAATTGGACATTGTGAGGTCGTCGATACGAGAATACGATAGTCGCCCCTCCCTCGGAGATATATGTCCAATCCTCAGGTTTTGTTTCAGTAATCAACGTTGGAGTCATTGCAGATATTGGGCAGATTTAGGTGTGCTTTGCGACCGATAATTGATAAAACGTGTTGCATACCACAAGCTAGTACGCATGTTGTTGGTAGAGGTCCGCAACACGCACAACAAGCGCCAAACAAGCGCGCTGGGTTAAACACTCCGCTTTCGAAATTCGAAGCTTTGACCTGCTACCACACCTTTTTGTGGAACAATAGACCATGGTGTGGAATTACCGTTGCCCCCATTACAATATTTATTGGCCATGTCTGAAGTCTGGGTTTTGCAACCTGGAGTGTTTCATCCCAGTTCAACGATCTTGTCGCTCGCAAGCTTCACGAAATATCTGGCACTATCACCATCAGAATCAGAATGCGATACCCAACTCCCTCATCGACCAAGCCGTCTGAAAGTTCGCGGGCTACAAGACATCCCTCTCGATCCCCAAAAGCAAATGCCGCCCCCTCCAAAGGTATCCATGCTCGCAAGCATGTTCTCAAAACATCCAAGACTCGAGGTGCTTCGCATTATGATCCTAAACCGGTATGTGCTCCCTGGTGCTCTTCTGATTCATAGCATCTTCACTGACTGTTTGTTTATAGCCATGCATCACCGTCCACGGTTTACCTGGTTATACTGGTGGCCTCTTACCACCCGATGTAGTGGACCCTCGCCCACCCGCACTTCCCTTGGACGGTTTTGAATGTATTCGCACATTAGGTATGACATGGCTATTTCAGAATCGGGAGCTAAACTTGACTCACTCGATGTAGGCGATGGAGCTTATGGTCATGTGCTGCTCGTACGAGTGCGTGACCAACCCAATCTAGGGAAACTGGCACGGCCAGGATCATTGTTTGCAGTTAAGGTTCTTTCTAAAGAAAGAACGAAAATCACACATCAGGTATGTATACCGCTACATCATATTTGCAATTATAACCTTTCAACCAGAAATACCCTGCGGATACCCATGCAGAGAGGATGCACCTGTCGGCATTGCCCTGGAGTCCCTGGGTGAATGGTGTCATAGGCGTCTTCAAAGATGAATTGAACCTTTACCTTATGCTCGAGTTTATACCGAGCGGGTGTTTCTACGACGTCATCCAAACGCGCGGCCCTTTTGATGCTGCCACTGCCCGGTTCTACTTCGCCAATATCGTGTCTGGGCTTTATTTCCTCCGTGGCGAGGGGATTATTCATCGAGATCTCAAACCAGCAAATATCCTCGTTAGATCGGATGGGTACTTGGCCATCGCAGATTTTGGATACGCCCGTTTAGATAAGATTGACAACGGACCCATCACAGATTGGCTAATGATCGGGACACCGCTTTACATGGCTCCTGAGACCTTATGTTACCAACACATGACAGGATTCAGTGTCGACTGGTGGGCGGCAGGGGTGACGTTGTACGAAATGCTCACGAAGAGAACGGTCAGTACCAGTGATCCCCGCCCCATGAGACCTTTCTTATATTACTTCCAGCCATTCTTCGGTACGGACGAAAACAAAATATATAAGAGGGTCTCCTCGGGGAAGTACAAGTGGCCCAAGGGCCTCCGCGTGAGCGCATCCCTCAAGTCCATTGTCGCAGGACTTTTAACCACGACGGCGGAGGATCGTCTGGGTATTAAGGGATCCGTTCTCGACCACCCATGGCTCGACAATATCGATTTTGATAAATTGGATGCTGGAAACTACATGGTATGTCCCCTCGTGTAAGCAAGCATATTCAGTATATCTAACGGATAGATAATATAGGCCCCTTGGATCCCTGAAGCGCCTGCGCCCACCCAGACGTGGTTAAACAAGGGCCTTCCGCCCCCGCATCACATTCCTGGACTCAAAATTTGCCTACCAGCTGTGCACCGCGAGTGGGATGACCGTCTGCCCAGGAAACAGTTACCTAATGTTGCGGACCAGCTGTGCACCGCAGGTCGGATGGCCCAGAAATAATTACCTATCTAGCTGACACTGACATGTCATGTTTCTTTCGTACTATCATCTAACATATGTAAGGATGGTATCTATTTTATCAATGCTCGCGTGACTACTGTCGTGAGGTGGATATGTCAACTCACCGAATGACGTCAGTACGAGTTCTCAAAGTATTCTTACCCATCGCAACAGTACTGTACAGAAATATCAGCAACGCGCCACACTATACGAACAGAACAAGTGGCCGTTTCGAGCGGGTCGCGAACTTGCGCACGAATATCCGGACACATGAAACATTGCCCCTGTAAGCGGTCACATGAAGATTCCCCACATGTGTGCTTCTATTCTATAGAAACACACCTCCGGGTTAACCCCAGTCAAAAGGACTTGACCTGAGAATCGGCGCTGCATTCTCCCTTTCTTCTCTACGCTCATATCTTTTTCCCCGTCGCTCTCACACTCTCCACCGGTCATCGATTCATCGCGCAGATATTCTGCAAGTATTCTCACCCTAACTTCAATCAACACTGCTCCGACCTCTTCTTCTACCCCGACTTGAAGCAGAGGTCAGAACAGTCTGTAGTTGGTGCTTCGACCCCGGCCTAGCAATAAAGCTCATAATCAATTCGAGTGATTAGGTGCTCCAAACCCTGCACGTCCTTAGGTAGGCTATATCTATGTATGAGACTTGGGGCAACTAGGTCGTTATTTCTGTTCTATGTGTTTGAGCTAATTACGTCGTCAGTACTCGGACCAAGCAAAAAATATATTATATACCATGGCCCTCGAGCGTCAACGCAACCGAAGGCTAAACCACGCAACGTGTATTAAGACAATAATCTGAAGATATACCTTATTATACAGACTCGACATCCAAATTCCAAGTCCCTATGGATTGATCGTATCGTATAAAAGTAACGAAAGTGGTGGAAGAAAACGTGGGGGTGCAGAGGGGAGATACAACACGTTATAAGTCAAAATCCGACCTCCGGTTGTTGTTGAATGCCTTTGGCAGGAGCGGGAGTTGATGGGCCCCAGAACGAACCATCTTGCGTAGGTACGTCAGGTTCTGATGTTCCCTCGCTGCCAGCGTCAGTACCTCCAGTCACTTCTGCCAGCGTAGGATCGGCCTCTGCGATGACGCCATTCGTTTCATCTTCACTCTTACCCGATGACAAACTCGACATGCTCAGCACCCCGTAACTGCCTCCGCTCGCAGAGGCATCTGATCTCTCGCTCATCCTGCTAGGCACACGTCCTGCGTCCTCTTTCCCACTTGTCCCGCTCCCCATAGCGCTCATGCGTCCATCAGATCGAAGACTCCCTCGGCTAGGCACACGCAGGCTTTCAGGGCGCTTTAGAATCGCATCGGCCAATATACTATTCTGCCACATATCCTCTTGGTCTCCCTCGGCTTCGCTGATGCTCGCGTCTTCACTATTATTCTCTTGAGCAGACGAAGATGCCGAATTGCGTCGTCGTCGCCTTCCACGCGATGGCGATGATCCCGCCGAGGAAGTCGTGTCAGGGGTATATTGGCCTTTACCACCACCATTCTTCACGATGCTTCCCGGATTCATGGTCATTCTCAGACCGGAGAATAAAGGCGTCATCCCTGCACCTCCATAGGTACCTGGAAAGCTAGGGTATGGGTGGTAGGATGATGCAAGGAGTGCTTGAACGTGTGCAGGTGGATTGTGGCTGAAATTTGAGGGAAGACCATTGTGAGAGATATTGGGGCTGTGGGGTTGCAGGCGTGGGGATGGTGATGTTGGAGAGGAGTAAGATGATGAAGGAGATTGAGCTTGAGCTTGAGATTGTAAAGTTGTAAGAATAGAGTATGCTGCCTGAAGCTGCTGCATGAGATGATGGACTTGAGCTTGTAACTGAAGAATATGGTCAGTGAAACGATGATAACGAACACCGTCGCACAATAGAGGCTCGGTGAAGAGTAGATACTCACTTCACCTTCCCTCCTCCTCCAAGCCATCGTATCTTCATTCCATCGCCACTTTAGCCCTTCATTTTCCTTCCCTACACGTTCAGCCTCCGTACGAGCTTTCTCTTCTCGTAGTCTCGCAGCCTCGAGTGCACCACGCATGGACGCGAGCTGGGTTTGAGCACGTAATGGGCCAGTAGGCGAGCCTATATGGACAGTGTGAACAGATACTCCTGGTGGAGGCGTCGAGCCTCGTGAGGCAGTTGGTATTGGCAGACCCGCGACTGTTTGTCCATTCATAATAGGGCTTTCAACTATACTCGAATGGGTATGTGTGTGATCATTAGGAGACGCCTGGAGAGGGTTCAGAGTAGGAAATGTGACATGTGGAAGTGTTGGTGAAGGAACAAGTTGAGGGGAAGAGCCGGAGGGAGAGGACGTCGGTTCAATACTCGATCCTAGATTCGGGTGTGATGGGGAACTGGATGCACATGCAGAGGTGGATAGCATAATTCGTGCGGGAGAGGAGTGAGAGGCAGATGACGATGCCAAGGGGGTATTGTGCGAGATAGAGGCTGCAATCACACAACTACCATTTGACTTGTCAGCTCCACGGTGCTTGGGCATTAATCGTGGAGGCTTGGTGTGAGCACCTGCCCTGTATGCCTGTGATTGTCCGTCCGAATCCAACGTGTGGGTAGATATAGATACACGGAGTGGCATAGAACGAGATTGAGGGTAAGAAGTGAATGAGGATGCAAATTCATGGCTGTCGTGTTCTTCCGCGGAGGTGGGCAGGGAAGATGATTCTAGCATGGAGGAGGGGGAATCGTCGTAACAGGGGCTGCCAGCAGGTTGGATGTTATCAGCGGTGCCATGAAGGTGCGTGTGTTCAGAGCGTGAAGTACGCATGGTGAGATCATTGGACGTGACATGACGCGAAACTGATGCTGGCTCAGAATTGGATGCTGACATGCAAGCAGGTAGCAGGCGGTCCTCGTGTGGTTCAACCGCTGGCGGTGGCTCTACAGTTCAGATGTGATACAAGACTCTCTTCAGGAGAGTCTTGAGTAGGTGAAAGCAAACAATAAGTGGATGGCGCGACTGGCGCGATATTATCGTTACTTGTGGTCGACTTGAACTCTGACTCGAACACCGGAGAATCGCTACCGCTGTTATCTTGATGAACGGGTGTTTTAGGCTGTAAGGTCTTGGGTGTAGACTTTGCCTTCTTCCCGTTCTTGAGAAGTTCCTTAAGTGGAACTTTTCCCCTTCTGCGTCGCTCCTTGGACCGAGAAGCTTTCTGGTCCATGTCGGTAGATGTAGATGATGTTTGAGGAGTGTCCGGGTGTTCTTGTTCGGTCATGTCACACTCACCAGGAGTGTTACTGGCGATATGAAAAGTAGAGAGAGCGGCGGTGATGATGGATTGAGCAGAACGGGCCTGTTGGGAGTTAGGTCCGTGGTCGTTCCCGGGATTGTTCTCCACCTGCTTTGCCCGCCAGAGGAGGATGGATGCAACAGCGAGAGCGAGAGAAGAGACGGTGAGTATAGCGATGCGCGCGTTGTCCTCAGCGAGCAACCAGTTGTGTACGTGCTCTCGCTCACCCTCATCCATAACGACAACGAACGAACAGAACATTGTCAAACTAATCTGCCATAACAATTTCACAATTTCAGTCTCCGATTACGGTATTCTATAAATAAATGATCCCCTTTTTTATTATTATCTATGTTGCAGTGCCGCGCACCTCCGAGCTTTGCATGTGCAGCACATTAATATTGTCGCACTATCATCGCACACAGCAAGCAAGCAAGTCCGGAAATCACACGGTGCTTGAGATCTCCCAGCTTTCTATGGAAACTACTCGGAACTCTAAAAAGTTAATCAGGTTAAAAGGAGAAGCACAACAATGACCTCAAAGGTATGAACATGCATGTCGTCAAGCAGGTATCGGATTGCCATGTCATATGACATAGCGGAAATGTTCAACAACTGGATCACATGCGGAGCGGAAACGACCCTGCACATGGCCCTGGCGCTTTCACCTCATGTCCAAGGTTGGCTCAGAACTGATTTGATAACCCCTGTCGCTATGAAGCAATGCTTGTCTGAAATGCGAATCGCGATGCCGTATCATCCCAAGCACGAGGATATCACGTGTTAAGAACGACCGGTACCGGTGTTCTTACCGACCTATGTTGAAAGTCGATTACTTTCTCGATTGTTTGCATCGTGCGAACGGAGATTACTGAACATAACCAACCCGAGGTCGTAGGCGTGGTAGATGTCGATGAGCACTTGAGTTGATATAAAGTGATCTAGGACTTGCGCGGAGCATCCCGGCAGCCCGAGTCGCTAAATCGTTTCCGTCTTTAACGCGGACAGTGTCCTGAAAAAGTCGTGATTGCGTCTTATCGTGAAATCTCATAACCAAGCTAACATCTGTCACTAGCCTCATGATGGTGTAGTGTTACGTACATCGTGCATGCATTCGACATTCCCAGTGACTGAGTCAAAACCTAGTAGTAGTTTCTCATGTCATAACGATCCTGAATGCGAGGCTAGCAACAACGTACGTACTTCAAGATTTTGAGGGTAGCATCGAGGAGAAATTCACTGACAGTGAATGCCTCATACTCGCACAGTCAGCACCATGGCTCGAGCGTGGAGATTGCTCTGCAATGGAAGCCTGATCAGGCAAGTCTACTCACCGATCGTGATGTCTGCTGTTCCACTCCCTCACTGCGTGCACTAGTACTCTGTCAGATAATTGCTTCAGCTATTGTACTACTTACTCGTACACTGACCGGTCCCGGAACAGCCCGCAGGGCATCCCGTTTCAACAGTTTCCTTTATTTGTTGCGGTATATAAGTATAGAAATTCTCTCACCGAAACTATTGTTCTGTTTGCGTAGCAGGTCAGTGTATGAGCGAGACCCGTAATATGGCATCGGCCGAAAATCATATGTCCGACATCGTGCTGGTGTCCTTGCCTTTTATATCACTTCTTCGCTATCTGCCACGCCGACTCATCGACAGACAGTGTACGATCCATAGTAAGAATGTTTTCAGGCGAGACAGCAGGAACAAGCGGAAGCCCGGCTTGTTGGTTTACTATTATTCAGGCTCATTGCAGAGGACGGAATTGCCCGTTACCTTTGATTGATGACGAGCTGGGATAACAAGTGAACAGTATACGTATCTGATTGCGAACCACGTATATCTACAGCTCGCAATCATGTTCGTACTAGCCGCCTAAGTTCAAAGTGGCGGCGTCGAAATTTTGCGTGCCGGTGTGGGCTCAGCGCTCATGCTCATGAGTCACTACCAGTATATGTAGGTCCGCATCGCTGCCATCCATTTGAGCAGGTATCCCAAGGTATGATTTAATATGTTTAATTTTCTCAGACCGCAAGGCAATAATATCACCAGTCATCAGTAAGGTCATGGAATGAACATGGTTGTCGTACCGCATGATGCAGTCGTGAGCAGCTAGAGATAACTTTTTGTGCGTTAATCAAATGTGAGGCACTGTTACTCACCAGCAGTGGCAGTTTCAAACCACTGAGCGTTTGAAAGCCCAGCCTTCTATTGATCATGCCAGGAATAAGCGCTAAGCGCTAAACTCTAAAAGATACGGTGAATAGGAATGAACAGGTATTGTATCACATTGTTGTCGGATCATGCAGAGGAAAGAATTGCAAATGATGACGGCCGGTCCAGGATCTGATGAGACATGGGATGTATGAACAAAACAGCAACAATAAGTACAGAGCATTTGGTAACGCTTATTATGCAAGGAATCACGGCATCTGAGTAATTGTTGCAAGAATGAGATGTTTATGACGACGAAGAACCTGGCGCCGCGTCTGTCTCTTCTTTCCGAATTTGCTGTGCCAGCAATCGTCTGATAATAATTAATTAATCAAGGGCATCGATTCAGGGATAGAGACGCACTGTCTGGCGGCCAAAATCATCTGTGCTTTCCTTTCCTGCAAACTAGCCTCGCGCTTCTCCGACGAATCCTCCCAGTTGGCTTTACCGAAGGCAAGATGATCTTCGGGTGAGAAAGTGGAGGATAGCGTTCGGTCTTGTAGCTTGTAACGGGATATAAGGTTCTCTTTCGGGGTTGGTGCTAAACTCGTCGATTGCCCTTGAGGAGCAACTTGCCGAGCTTGTGGGGGGACCTCTGTGCGTGAATAGACAGTGAAATATGCTGGAGGGGGCTATAAAAGAGGATGCTCGAATGCATGAAATTGACATCAAGTGAGATATTTACACACCGCATCAAGATATCCACGCTCCAAAATTTTATTCGAGGTGATCTCGACGCTCCCTGTCCTCAGCAAGTCATAACGAATATTATCTCTGTGACAATACTAAGTGAGAAATTCTCCAGTTAAACACGAACATACTGTGGTATGTTTGGAAACATGGAATGTATCTGGTTAACCTGCGAGGAGGGATTCAGCATAATGACTGGGATAAAGTTTCAGCCCAACCATTTCCTGCGTTACATTCTTTGGCCTGAAACCAAGAGTTGAAGATGCCGACCTCCTACTGGAAGAGTCGCTGGCTGCCGCAGAAACTTGTTAGAAGCGGACATATGAGTGGAATCAATAGCTCGTGACTTACATGAAGTTGCCCATCGGAAGATGATGACAATGACTGCAAAAGCGACGATAGCGTTTACAACCTCGCCCATTGAAAGAAACCACGGATGATGATGCTGCGAGAACTTTGAAACGGATTGAAGTGAAAGCTTTAATGCGCTGTCAGTGGCAGTGTTCGTTTTACCATCGGAATCCGGGTAGAACCTGGTCCGAAGCGGTCCGAGTCACTCAACATCCCAACGGGCTGTAATGATAAGTATCAGTAATCGTTGATAACGATGTAACACTAATCAAATACTTCTCTCAGTGTCAGCGCCTCCCCTTGGTTTTCGCGATGTATCAGCCGGGAACACATCGCCGCATCGCACTGCTCATATGCGATGTACCCGCTGATTCCGTTCGGGAGCAGCACGGGGACTACACAAGGATCTTCGGAACCTTGCTAGAAGAATCATTGAAGCCCATCAATAAGACTCATTCAGCTGGTTCGTTGTACTTTGATATCTGCTACAAGGCTCGACTTCACACCACTGACCCAGACTCACAAACGACGTTCACACTTGAGCCTTTCGACGTGCGCATGCAGGTTTACCCTAAAGAGGATGACTACGATGCAATACTAATCACCGGCTCTGGTGCGTGGAAAAATATTGATGTGTATTCCATGAGTAGTAATCTTGCTCTTGTCATGCGCAGCACATACTGCCCACGAATATGAACAGCCAGGTAGAGAGTGGATGAAAAAGTTGATTGAGTACGTGAGGGTTGTCGCGACAGAGAAACCGCGGATAAAGATCTTTGGTCGATGAATAAATTTCATACAATCTACAAGGACTGATAATCGTTTAACAGGCATATGCTTTGGACATCAGATCGTCGCGCTTGCCATGGGCGGGACATGTGTTCGCAACACTCGTTTCGAAGTTTCTGCGACAAAGCTCCAATTGACTGAACTCGGAAAGAGAGTGTATGGCATCGAATCTGGCGTATTGGTTAGAAATCTTCATCTTCGATTGCTATCGTACTGATTCTTTCTCGAGAACATACATTTAATGAATCGAGACCATGTTCCCACCAAGCCGCCATCATTCCATGTTCTTGCATCGTCTAGCCAATCGCCGATTCACGGGATGGTCCTCTTTTCACAGTCAGAGTCCCTAAGGGACGCATCGCACTCTAATTTCCGCCTGACCGATATTCATATTCTCACCAGTCAAGGCCACCCCGAATTCACAGAGTCTATAATGCGTTTACTCCTCGGCGTGCGGCGAGGAATCTTGGGTCCCGAAATTTTTGATGACGGTCAGAGTCGTGCAAGCAATCAAAATGATGGAATTGCGGTTGTTGGAAAGGCCATATGGGGTGTCATGGGGGTAGAATGAGCAATGTATCCTGAAGCCATCACTAGCAGGTGCAACGAAATGTACAAGAACTTATTCAATGTCATAGGTTCTGACACATCGGGCCTGTACAAATTCATATTGCTTTGGAAAGTCATAATCTAACACGGGCGCTATGCAACGGAGACAGAGCGTTTGGGGGGAGGTTTTCTTTTTCTTTTTCTCTCTTTCGTAATACGTTACAAAAGAAAAAAAAAGAAACAAGAGAAACCGCCTGAACTTTGATACGACGGACAAGAACAGACAGAATATGAATCTAGTTTCGAACTTCGAGTATCAATCGATGTGATATGTGTCATGGCTCTACGAAACCGCTCAAGAGATTCAATGGACACGTCGGGGTCTTTCATGCCTAACCTCATTTCATTATCTCTTGAGCGACCCGAGGGCAGACAGATTTGAACGTAGCAAGAGTCAAGCTTTCCGAGGTGCCACCTCGAAGTCGAGTCAGCACTGGCAGATCCCAGCTTGTTGCTACACATCTAGTTGTTATTTCTTTAGCTGGCTTCGTGACTTGGAGTTGTTCAGTATCGGTCTGTAAATACGCGCAGCCCCAAATCATTGTGACTTAGCGATATCCCACCCGCGAACAAGCTAGCCAGAATTCATTGCCCCCTTCTTCGCACCATCCCAATGGACCAAGGTCACACTCTGCGCATATCAGGAACTTGAGCTTTTTTGCTGCAACTGCTGGCATTCCGTGATTAGGGCAGGTGAATAGGAATGGAAACCAGCGTCACACTGACCGTCTTTCTGGACAGGCCTTGTGAAACCAATGTTCTCAAATTCCATCATATTCGGAGTCACCAACCACCAGTGCGCAGTCGCAGGTGGAGCTGGCAATGCTGGCAGGTCTGGGTGAAGAGACTCCTCTGCGGTATCGAGCTAACGACATCGCTGAGTGACGTCGATGGTATGAATTAATCAGAAACGAGCCGGACCTCGACACTATCACGCTCTACCCATCGGCCGATGCCCGCTTTCAAGATTACGCTACCGCATCCGTTACGGGGACAGAGAAGGTCGAATCTGTGTGTCAATTCTCCAAGATTCTTATCGTGCGATGTAGAAACCGCAAGCACGCCTTGATCGAAATCAGATAGTTTACGAATTATAGAGCGATCTCCAGTATTCGAAGGGCGTTGTAATGCTGCCAGAGCACTGGGATGTATAGACTGATTTGACATGATGGTTGCGTGTCAAGCTCTCGTGCTGGAGATTGTACTAAGTGACTTGAAGGTTGGTAACTTGGTAGAATGATATTTGTTTCTACGCTCACATAAGCTCAGGTACCTGTATGATCACCTGATCATTGGCATTGATAAGATAAGATAAGATGCTATGATTCGCTGATAAAATCACGCTACATGTATATTTCATGCATAAACAGAACTTCATTGATAAAAGCCTCTGGGCAGAAATTTCACGTCGCTGGTGCGTATCCATTCCGTTTATGAAGGTGAGATGCTTAGTCGCTTCAGGACGCGTTTTTCTTTCACGTGATACGACATGTGACCCGTGGCGGCGGGCAGGCCTCCCATCTCCGAGTCAGGGCTGCGAAACTTTGCAATATCGGCAGCTCTCATACTCACAGAGAGCTCCTTCAAAGTTTCTCTTCCTTCTCGGCACCCATTCATCCTCTTCGTTCGAGGGGCCCCGGAGTCCCACCTCTGTACACGAACCATGTCCGCTGCGAAACTGACATCTCTTGCGACCTCAACACTTTCTCTCCTGCTCGAACGGCAGCGCCTCCAGGCCTCCCATCCCACTCTACATCTGCAAACAATATCAACAAATTTACATAAGATTAGGGATGGTGTCATAGCCCTCCGCACCACTTCCGATGATGAAGCTGCGGAAAGCCTTAGAGCACACTACGAACGGCTGCGCAGTATGTTTGGGGAAGAAGCAGCAGAGAAGGCTGGATTACATACGTGTGTTGTGCCTTGCGTGATTGTAAATGTGTTCTCAAATCTCATGCCAGTATACCCCCTCCGATGCCACCGTCACCCCCACCTCTAGCTGAACGTGTTCCGAGTCCTGAGACAACCTACGAACCATACACCGACGACCCTTCGCCGGATTCAGATGAAAATGGCATTTTGATGCAACAGAGGCAAATAATGGATGGTAAGGCTTATGTTCGCTGCCGAAACCTACTTATGGTTCATAACATTTGATTCACTAGCGCAAGATGCTCACCTTGACCACCTTTCTTCTTCGATCGGTCGACAGCATCACATTTCGCTCCAGATAGGCGACGAGCTTGAAGGTACATACGGGACTTCTTGATGCCCTAGACACTGAGCTCGACGGTACCGGTGCCCGCATGTCCAATGCGAGGCGCAAACTTGAACGTGTTGCTCAAGGCGCGAAACGAAATGGTAACTCACATCATTGATGACCTACAAACGTCCAATTTGCTCATTTATTTGGTTTAGGCTCTACAGTCACCATTGCTCTTCTCATACTAATACTGCTCATCCTCATTGTAGTGTTTAAAACCTGATGGGAGCCATATTCATATATCGCGCACATCCTACGGTAAGACTTATTGAAAGGGACTTTCCATCTGCTGGCAGTATGATACCTTTGTGTTAATATTTTTCTCATATCGCTTGCTCAGACCTAGGTGTTGACAGACTTGTCAAGGGTAATATCAAAGTGCAACTGCTCTCATAAGCTGCAGCAACTCACGTATGATGGAACACCTGTAACTCTAGTGTTGATGCGGTAACAATCTTAGAGCAAGTGACAGTTGGGGACCACCCACTATGTATTCGGCGAAGACAGACCTGGCTCTAATCCTTGAGATTGACACTGACTATATGCCGGTTCTATCTTGCCATTCCGAAATTAAACAGATCCGAGACAAATCTGAGAGTCACCGGGACTCACCGAGCTTCCTGATGTCATGTGTCAGAAATTCCTAATTTAGATTTCAATGCCTTGTAAGGCATTTCAAGCTTCAAGCCCAGTGAAAATTGACCAGAAACAGGCTGATAGGTGGTGAAACAGGTCAAAGTATACAATGAGGTAGATACAAATCTAAGAAATCTGAGATGACAAATGTTTAAATTTGTGCAAAATGCAAAGAATCTTTGCTAAAGTCAAAAATGTAAGAATTTGCGCAGTGCTTACGACAACTTCACATTTGCGCGACATTTGCGTCACGTTTGCATCATGCATACATATGCTTATCTTAAATCATGCTTTGCACTTACTGATCGAAATTTTTCTAAGTCACCACATACCATACCATGGACAATCTCCAGGCTGGTATATACCGGCCACAAGACACTGCCGTCGTTTACATCTGCGATTGTGACATATGTCTCTGAAAGAACTGCGGAAAACCTAAGCAGGTCAAATGCACTGCATACTATGAGCATCGGCCTGGCAGACTTGCCAACTTACAGAATCCTCTTCCTCCCTCTATTGTCCCACTGCTGCCACCCATACCTCTGAGTCTTGTAGCATCTGATCTGTTGGCAGTGCCTCCATCATCGTCAAGCAAATGTCTGAGTCCATCTGAGACAGAAGAACAATCCAGATCGAGTGGCAGCAACTTGAAGAAATCACATACCAAGGAGACATTTGGTCCATTCCCAGCCCCAAATAGATCCAAGGTTAGTTTTGTGCCACTTTATCATAGATTGCAGTGCTCACTGTAGTACTATTCACTGGTTACTAGGATGATATTGTACCCCTGCTGGAGCCACCAGACTCTCAGACTGAAGTCAGCAGTGCTGGATCTAGTCATATGCCTCGTGTCGAGGATGATGGGATGGCCAACGACTCACACCATATAGATCATCACGACGATACACTTGATGCAGCTGGTCACGATATAGAAACAACAATACAGCATGGCGTGAACAGTGCTCCAGACTGTATCTATAAGTGTTGTAAGGTTGTGTGTTGCCTAGTCTGCTATACTTGAGAAGACAAGTGCGTTCGACCCTAAAGGGGAAGCGAGTGCAGCAAGGATCTAGTAGCATGCACTGAAAGTGCTACTGGTTGGTCAATGTGAAGTGTGAGAAAGCGCGGGAATGCGCGTGGGAAAGTGCGTGCATGTATGCGGAAATGAGAGAGAGTAAGAATAAGCTTGCTTAAGTGATAATGAGATACTAGACAAGAGATGAGAGTGCAAGGTGCCAAAGAATAGATTTCTACTGCGACTTTCTAGGTAGTAAGTTGGTAGGTAAAGTTGGGTAGAAAAGTAAGGTGGTAAGTAAGGTGGTTGATTGGGCGTGTGGAGGAACACTCCAGGGAGTTGACTTCTTGGATTATCTACGGCTTTGAAGTCGTCAGACGACACTTCTGAGACAGAAGGTCAGGTACTCAGACCCAACAGTCGTCGCAGAGCTAGAGAAGAAGCTATCGCTGCATTTGACAAAGCAGTTGAATCCATTCTACCCGGTGTATAAACAACAATACTGAGAGGAACAATTGAATGCTCCTGACTGTATCTATAAAATGTTGTAGGTCGTGCGTTGCCTAGTCTGCGTTACTTGAGGAGACAAGCGCGTTCGACCCTAAAGGGAAGCGAGTGCAGCAAAGATCTAGAGGTACGCGCTGAAGTGAGGCGCGAGAAAGCGCAGGTGTGCGCACAAGGCACGAAGGCGCGGGAATGCGCGCGCGCGCGTGCAGAAACAATAGAGAGGTTAGACTTAAGTGATAATTGTTACGAACTAGGATAGTTCTAACAGCAAGGGCTTGACAGAGCGTTCGTGTTGCTGAGATTCGTAAAGCCCTTCAAATAAGAAGAGGTTTGTAGACTTAGTTAAAGGAGTGCTTTAACTAAGAGATCGGTTCTGACGACTTAAGATTGGTGGTCTTAAGCGAAGGAAGTTCTGGATAAAACCTAGTAAGATTGAAGTGACATTTCTAGGTAAAGTACACGTGCTTAAATAGGACACTATATGCGCACGGACCAAGGCTAAGGTGGGATAATAGTACACAGGTTGAATATGGAAGTC